CCGACCAGTTATATTGTTTACTAGCTGACACGGCGAATTTCGTGTCGTCGCCTAAAACCCCCTCCACACTCCTACCAAAACTACGCCAACATTGGCCGATAAGAGATTATAGAGAGTATTGGTCTATATTGGTGTTGTCTCGTGGATGTTGATCTAGTCTCGCCTCCGTGTCGGTAACATTAAGGGTTCTCGGGTAGTTTTGTGTATTGGCAAAGTTTGGTATGGCAAAGATAAGTATAACTATAGCCGTAATACTGTCGTAGCCGAACATTTACTGAGAAATCAGAAAACTCATAAACTTCGTGGAGAAAAATTCATTCTTACGGATCTCCTTTAAAAAGATACTTTTTGGTAGAAGAAAATAAAAACACAGATGATGACCATCTCAGATCTCACAATCTTTCGATAAAGGCGCATCATTTTTCGTGTATAATATACGCAAATACTTATAAAAAACAGGAGATTACGCACGACGCGCGCGCAATCGATATTATATTTACATTAACTCACGTCTCTATACGTATTTAATTTTATCGAAACATAATATTTTGATAGCTGTACTATCCATTTGCAAACTGCAAAAGGGCGGAGCAGAAAGAGATTGAACACAACACCTTTAGCAAACACTGCCCACAGAGAATAATCTGGGACAGAATCGCGAGAGCGAAAGTGGCGTATTGCTAAGGGTGTTGTGGGCAAAATCAGAACGGGGAGAGGAACAGAGAAGTTTAAAGAAAAGATATATAGGGTAGAAAAGAGAATTTTGGGAAAAGAAATCAAAGATAGTGGGAAAGGCTGGTTTTGTATTCACTTTCCTGAGGAAAGAATGGAACAAGTACTAGGAGAAAGACTGCTGAAGTCCCCTCCTGGAACAACGGAGAGAGTGCGAGTGGATGCCGAGGGTAGCCACGAGGCCAAAACAAATGGAGGTAGCAAAATTGATATTTTGAAACCCCATTTGCGGAGGCAAACCGGGCTCCGGAGGCGACCACTCAAACTCAGGAAGTAGAAGGCGACCGGGAGGAGACTTCAGGAGCAAACATAGCAAAAGATAAATGAAAAGCAAGCAAAATAGGTCTGAACTGGTGTAAGACAATGCAGTAAAATAAGAGAATTAATATGTATAGACAGAATAAATAATATGTAAATACTAAAAAATGATGACAAAAGTAATGTAATAGAACATAAGGAAAGCATATAGTATAAGTAGAAGAAAGAATAGAAATAAAAAACAATTGTAAAGTTTAGCTAACTAGAAGGAAAGCAAGAGGAAAGTAATTCGTATAGAATAAGAAAGAGCAGAGACTGTAAATATAAGATAAATAATAATATTAAAAAGAACCAAATGTAATAGATATTAAGAACAGTTAAATGTAAAAATTTAAAAAGAATATGAAAGAGAAAAGAAAAGCTCGCACAAAAAAAAATAAGACAAAGAGAAAAGAAAAACTCTAAAAAAATAGAAATACAAAACCAAAAAGAAAGAAAAAGTCCTGCCACAGAGCGGCGAAGCCGGATAAAAAAAAATACTGGACGTAAAGAGATTAAGAAAAGATAATTTTTAACACATTTGGAATTTTTCAGTGAAGAACTCGTAGAATAAGTTAAAAGGGAGATATTTAGGAAATAAAGAGTTAATAGAAATTAGTCACAATTGAATTTGTATAATGTCGATTATCATTTTATTCGCATTGACAAGGATCCAAAACCAAATATTGCACCACTGACATATATACACTATATATTATTCTAGGTGCAAGTGAAAATTTTAATACTTCAATATCTTTTTATTTTCGTAAATATTGTAAAACCTTTTTTTTTCTATAAAAGACATTAAATTTACTTTTGGAATAAAAGTAGGTATAGTTCGATAGTGAAAAGACAAAATAATTTAACCGCCACTTTGATTGAAATAAGTTATACTATATAATTGTAATTAGCTTATTTTAAGCAATAAACGCAAAAGCTTTTTTTTATAATCATTATGAAACCCATAGAAATAAATATGACGGTGGATTTTGCAACGATAGCATCATTTGACTTAAGACTGAAATTCTGAGGGAGATTGAGGGTTTAGTTATACTCTTCTTCTTCTCTTACCTGATAAAGGGAAGTTAGATTCAAAGCCCAAGCAAGCCGACAATCATTTATGGATGTGGTATCTACCGTGGTACCTATTTATGGCTGTGTTTTCAGCAGTATTTCCTAAAGACTGGGTAATAATACTACACTCTAGTATTTCCCAAATAGTGGGAAACACGAAGCTGTTGATCTTATACATGGGTTGGGTAAGACAGTCTTGTTATGTAAGTTCAACATTGAGAAAGAGATCTCTCGTCAAATCCAGCTCAGGTAGTCAGCGTTCGCCCTAGTTTTTCCAACGAAAAATGCAGCAAATGTAGTGGGAGGGCACTTAGAGAAGAAAACTGATAGCCGTTTGGGCGATAAGATTCTCGAGTGGCGACGACGCTCAGTGGGCATGTTCTCAACCAGATATATCGAATATCTATTGAAGATCGCGGGAAGTTGCTGGACGGGGGCAATTCAAGACCGATCAGTGTGAAAATATTTGGAAGTAGACTATGTTCAGCAGTCTTCATATGACTAAATGATGATTATTAATCTTTTTGCTTGACATCAGCGATAACGCTGAGAGAACCATTTGATATATTTAATGAGGTAGCAATGAATTTTAAATTCTGTCAAAAACAAACATAATTAATAAATATCATTTATTCAATATAAGCGATTTTGATTTTCAACTGTGGTATATATATATGTGTGGTATGGATATGGTTATTGTTATTGACGTTACCTTCATTCGGTTCAAGTACTTTTTAATTACCAATACTCACCAAAATTCATAAGAGTCATTTTACTCACATAACTTTATACGCAACGTCTGGACGGTTTAGTACGAGAATAAAATGATAACTGAGTTTATCATTATCTAGTCAAATATGTTTTACGAGAATATTGTCATACTTGAATTGTATGACTACAGGTTTAAATATATTTTGACAATATTATATAAACATTTTATTCTAGTAATTTTTGACATGGGTAAAATCCTTGAATAGAATTGTAATATTTTGTAATTACTGTATAAAAATTACGAAAAAATTGAGTTGACCCAACACCATTTAAATACTTTTTTTTTGTAACAGTACTTATCTAAATAACAACATTACTTCAATATATATTAATTCACGCTGCCCTAAGTTCAACAATTTAGTAAAAAATTATATTAAAATATACTGGAATCTAAATAAAGATAATGAAATTATTTATATTTGATAGGCATGTTTGTAAGACCCCCCTTAGTCAGGTCAACAACATCTAGCAGCTTAATACTGTGTAATATTAAAAACAACTCGTAATTCAGTTTCATATAGATAACGTGACTTGAAGTGACAAAGCATTCGTTGGTCACACCAACTAGGGGAACCTATACTAATGTGATGTAACTCCACAATGATTGACCCTCTTGCATTTGTACTAAAATATAAAGAAAATTCGAAATAGGATATTGAACACGTTATCTTTTTATTACTCTTCGATCGCAATTCTTCAATCTTCAGTATAAATTTGAGTTTTACACCTGCATTTTTATATCGGTATTTATTGGATAGAGTATCAAAGTTGGCCCTACATAAATTTGTACACAAAAATCCTATCCCAAGAGTGGGGAAATAGAGGAAATTATTCCCTCACAGATGTTGATGCCGAGTTGTATATTACAAATATTAAAGCCACATAAAATAATAAAATAAAAACTTTTTATCAAAAAAATTAACCGACAAAAAAAAATCGAAAATAATAAACCTTTTTTATCTTTAGTCAAATCCATGGTGGTGTCGGTGCCATGTAAACCCAAGAAGTAAATGGGAACCATGATGGGAACTCAGATCTATCAGACATGCAAGGCACCGGCTCCGAATATTAATTATGACTAAAGATAAAGTAGGTTTATTATTATTATCCCTACTTTTCTCAGCACTGTTCAATCCAAAAACTCCTGTTTACATGAAAGAACGTTTTCCGTTTCTTTCTTCCTCCCATAATATTCCACTTCGTTTATCTAACAATCTTCTTCTTTTCACTCCTTCTAACTTTTCCAAGGCGCATAGACATTCTTTTACCGTACATGCTATCCAACTCTGAATTCCCTGCCCGAAAAGATAAGGCGTGCCCAAAGTAGACTGTTTTGAGTCTCTAGTTAAGAAGCAATTTTTGTCGGAGGAACTTAATTTTTCATAAATCTTGCATTAGAACTTACCGGTTTCGGTATCGTTGTGAAGTATTTGAGTATTTATGTTTGCCTATATTAAAATTTCTGTTATTGTATTGTTTTCTCTTTTATTTTTTTTTCCTTTCGTCTTCTTCTTATCTAATTATCAGGAAAACTTTTGCCTTGTATTCCGCACAACCTCACTTACTCGTACACCTTATTTTATTTCCAGCTCATTGGGTTGTCTGGAAGAAATCGCTCATTAGCGATAACAAATACAACATTGCACATAGGGCGGCTATGTGCAATGTTATATTTTGCTACTTGTTTTGTATCTGTTTGTTTTGTTACTGTGTTGTGCAATAAAGAGTTTCCACCTTATCTTATCTTTAATGTTTTCTACTTTTTGTTTTTTCGACGGTTTAATTATTTTTGCTAAAATTAAATATATTTTAATAATAACGCTGTGTTAAGATTTATGAATGCAGTCTGTTTGAACTGGGATATATTTGAAAAGAAAATCCATCGTAAGTAAATAATTATATCCTATATCGACTCAATCCATGTAATAACATATATCACACATGGAATCCACGACAATTAAACTCTGAAAAGAGGTTAACTATTTTACAAGATTAAACCCGAAATCACTACTTATTCTAATTTCTAAATTATCTAGAAATTTCATTCAGAATAAACTAGAAAAATATTCTGAGATTGACAATCTCTTATAGAGATAAAGTCAAAATCAAATGAAAAAACCAAGAAGTTTAATTTGTCATCATTTATTAAAAACGTACCAAATAAATAAAACTCATTTTAACCTATGTAGCACTTAAAAATATTATACATCATTAAGTAACAAATATTTACAACATAAATCAAATTTACTATTTGTGCTGGTAAACATCTAACTCCAAGATCCCAGCTTCTTATAGTGCTTATAAAATTTCTATTGTTTTATCGTATAATCGATCAGGCAGTAGCGTAGGTATAAAAGGAAAAAAAAACTATCATTTAGGTTATACACACAATTCACAATTCATACCAATTGTTGACTTAACCTCAATTATCTTATCACCAATTTAATCACAATGATTCTTTTAAAGACATATGCGTACACACACGGAACTATCGACGACAATAAATGATAATGGGCTAGTAAGGCAGTGTTTCTCAAACTCTTTCAGTCACAGACCACTTTCAGGATATGGATAAATCCACAAACCCCAGTCACATAATATTACAGAAAAAGACAAAATCACTTCTATCCATGGTTTCATTACATTTTCTAATAACTGCTTTATTTAAAGATTTACCTACGGGGTGCCAGCATGTGAGTGCGGGGCCCCCCCGGACCTTATCGAAGACAGCCTACCGTACCGTTTTCCTGGCAGCTTAAAGGAGCTCAACGAATTGATGCCTGTGGCCGTAGAATGGCTGAAAAACTTGAAGATTGAGGTTTAGAATGACGCAATTCCATCGCCCATACGCTATGATGATGATGACTTTAAGAAACCCTGCCTGGGTTAAGGTACTACAGTGAGCCTCGCATGTGTCGCTCTGAGCCAAACTGCTAGCTTAAACTTCGCAAATGGTCGGTCGTGTTTTGTGTTAAAGAAAATGTTGAGAAATAACATCTTCCAATTTTGATGTTTTAGTTACCGAAGTAGTTTTAGTATATAGTTAAGTGACTTGCATAGATCTTACCATAACTTTGAATGAATGAACACCTTATGTACACCACACAATTAAAATTAATATAATTAGCTTAAGAGTACTAACTTCGGATTTATCGTGAAAAGCAAATTCTTCCGAGGCGAGCAAGTAGATGGTGTCATTCACAATGAAAATACAACTGGTACTATAGCTACATTTCGGCTAGTGTGCCCTTAGCTTAGGTAACCTACTACTGCTGTACCTACTCTACTGGGAACAAGGGAACTCCCTAAGAAATATATCTGAGGACAAAACAAGTTCTAACTGCTTGCTTTCCGGAAGTAAAGTATTCCTTTAGTAAGGTAAATAATTATTATCAGGTTAGTCACGGATGACATTAATAGCCTTGCATCTAATCATCGTTTCCGGGTAAAAATTATTTAGATCTAACCAATGTCCTCGCCTTTCGCGGTGAATAAAGTTGACCCATTACGAACTACATTTATCTCGTAATGATAAAGTAAATAAAGTGTTTCAAATGCTGAGCGTAGTAAGTATCACGAGAGTTTTAATGAGGTTTCAAGGAACTAAGACTTTTCGGGAAAACTCTTTCTTATTTGAAAGTTAAAAAGTTTATCCAGTCTACCCTTCCATTTCTGGCTTTACTTTTGCAGTGGAAACTAAGCGGGTATAAGTGGTTGAGGTACATGCAACTGATACAGATGTAGGGTATTAGTTATAGTCGTAGTATTTGGAATCATTCATGCAGTTGGATGAATTTTCTATTATTGTCGGATGTTATAAAATATTGTGTACAATTTTTATTGTGCCAATAAATTATTATTGTTATTACTTTATCATCGGCCACTGTGAGGCTTACCTTGCACTCCACAAATCTCGCACTTTTGTTTTGTATAGTTGGCTTCGCTGGACCTCTGCACATTGAATATTACTAAAATATTTCAAAGAAACTTTTTTAAGTCATTTATCTTTATATATCTATATAATAAGAATTTAAAGGTAACATTTTCAATTAGCTAGATAGGTATTTCAGTTTAATCATGATAAGTAAGTCTACCTATATTATTATAATGCATTTAAAACTATAATTTAGCATTGATCATGCTCATGTAGTTTGGTTCATGTTTAATGACATCTTGAGTGGAGAAGAAAATGTTGTAAGGTAAGATTTAGTTTCATAGCGTAGGTACATCGGGGTTATTACGTAGTTATGCTTATTGATAATATGCTTTAATTGAGAGGTGTGCTGGTTTCGCGCGCCGTGATGCCGTCGGCTCGCAGTCTTGATAGCAGAGACTTGTAGACGACTGGCGAAAACGGGAGTACCACACCGCGATCTTGAATCTCACCTGCGTGAAACGTACAGTAAAATATATCAGTAGGATTGCAAAAATAATTTAACAAGGTACGCTAAATATAAAGATGGAATACAGGAATATCTAGGCACGTAATATGTACCTACTACAGACAATGGGCCACCTGTAAGGTGACAGTTGAAAACATAAGCAAGTAAATTTTAAGTAATTAAGAAAGGATTTTTAAAAATATATCGGTATCTTGGTGCTCAAAGGGCGTAGACAGCAAATGTCATTTTTCAGTAGAGCCAAATAGCATTTTTTTTACAATTGTATCTTTTGTGGCTTTACCTATATATTCATGTACGAGTATACAGTCTCTACCAAAACATTGCCACATGGAGGGAAAGTACCTTAAATATGATTGCGCGCTTCGATCAGTACAGTAAAATTACAGGTAATTTTTTTGACTATGGTTCTACGTCTAGGAGGTTTATTTAATCGTATGCAGTTCGTATAGTTTTGTAAAGTAAAATGAAGTCTTCATTCAGTAAAATTTTCTGTCTGCAGTATTTAAAGTACTTTCCCTCCGTGTGGTAAAATTTCTGGATACCTGTATATAAATAGCTATATTAATATAAAAAAATAAGAAAATATTATTTAAAATTGTATGACAATTCTTTGTATATGTCAAGTACAGGGTTTCGGGAATGATTGGCGCCATGCGGCCACACTGAGAAGAAAGGTCTAATCATCTAGTTCAGTCTGTCTACGGATTTGTACCCTTAAGTGGAGATATCTACGGATTTGTACCCTTAAGTACACAGTAATAAAAAATATGTAAAAGTCGAAAATTCTCCGTAGAATTCAATAAACTAAAAAAATACATAAAATAACTGACACATCGCGGGCCAATAGTAAATTGGTGGTGTCATAAAATGAAAATAAGTTGTACCTATACAAAAGTTGTAGAACTATTAAATACGGATCTATCTGTAAAAATCCGATGTCATAAAATTCAGATTTTTTTAATTTATTTCCATAAAACTGCATTTTCAACTGCGGATAGAAACTTTATAAGATTACGTCGAACATTATGTTGATTCTTAAAAACATATGAGTCGACAGGTAAATAATAATTGTTAAGAGGTGCCAGTTTTTTGTATTTTGGTTTATTAAAATCTATGGTTTTTCGTACTTTTTAAGTGAAAAATTTACATAGGGTCAAAAATAAGCATACTCAAAACTCAATCCATCAAATCACATATTATGTTGTCAAAGTCTATTAATTTCTGGGTCAAAGGATCTCGCTACGCTTAGATTAATTCGCGTCAAAAACTTCATACAAAAGACCTAATGTCACATTGGTGCCTACTGGTGACGTAAATTTTCTTAAAAACCCTTATTCTATCTTGATCGCATCTTTGGCGGCGATGGCAGGCCTATGGTGCGGGTCATGGCGGTGTGCTAGGTGGGGTCCCCTCTCACAGTCATCGTGATCTCGCGTCGCTCCTTCTTGCCGCCGATCCACGTGATGATCTACATAGAGAGATTAATGCAGCGAACTCACCGTCCAGCAGCATCTTGGCGGCGATGGCAGTAGGTAGGCCAACGGTGCGGGCCATGGCGGTGTGCGAGGCGGGGTCCCCTCTCACAGTCATCGTGATCTCGCGCCGCTCCTTCTTGCCGTCGCTCCACGTGACACCCACCTCGTGTCGAAGCACCACGAAGTCGGTCTCGTCTTTGCCTGTTTTTGTGTACAAAATTTGTGAATGACGACAGAACATCATTCAGATTATTTTTCATCACCATTGTAATAATTCAATAGTTTAATTGTAAGAAATCAATTGATTTCGTTTCGTGATGAGCATGAGCCGTATTACTATTACTTTGTTAAAGATCTCAAAATATGTGCTGCATTGATATATTTAATCTTAATTCTTTAAAATTCAAAAAACTAATTAGTTACTTGTTTTAAGTACAATATTTTAATTTTTTTTATATACATTAAAATGTCAAAAATGCTTTTTTTCATGTCACGAGACACTATGTGAGATAAATTATAGCGGAAATTGTTTATACTTAATTTTATATTTTCTATATCTAAATTAATGCTGTTACTTCGCTAATAATAAACAAATATTTTATTATTCTCAACAGTGTTGAAAAACGGCTGAAAATGATGTACACACCTGCGGCTCGTGCCCAAAATCAGCCTCGTATGTAATTTTCAACTTAGCTTACTTATAATAATATAATGTACTATTTCACCTAATGTAGGTAACATTTTTTTTTTTTTTTTTATTTACTAACAGATTTAGCTTACATTTTCTATTAAGCTTCTCATGCTATTTAAGAAATTTCAAAATTAAAATATTAATTTTTGTGTAATATTTTGTACAGAATAAAACTACAAAACATATGAACATCAGCTGTTCTCTTCAACCTGAAAGGACAATGTTAAAATTGGCCTAAGAACCAACACCAATTAGGCATTTATGATAATTCTTAGTATATTTTTTGCGATAATTATCAGTATTTAGATTGTCACGGACACTTCCTGTAAAGTAAGCTAAATTAAAAAGTTAAAAAATAATCTGAGATAATAAATATCATTTTATGTGTATGATCTATGACAGCGCTGCAAACAAAACACTCTTTCTTCCTAATTCCGGCACTTCACTTGGCTATTCGTATTTGATATTTGAAAACATGACATCAGTCTGTCCTTTTCATTTCTTATTAAGCATGACAAGGACAAACTGTTGTCAAGTGAAGGGCCGGCATAAAACACGATAATCTGTGGTTGTGGTGCAGGCAGTTTGCATTCGTAGTAATCTGTGGCATTCGTACATTCTCGTTTCGGATTACCTGTTGTGTGTGTTTATTTGCGATTGTTTTTCCTTTAATTTATCTATTACGGCTATCTATTATGCCATCGATGTTACGAAAGAGCAGAGACCTTATTACCAAGTACTAGTGAATCTGTGCCACTACATCCTGAGAGGATCATACTGCCAAATTATTCAAGAGCACCTGATACACATTGACGCTGCATATTTACACAATATACAAATACATGTGATATACAAATAAATACAATATGATAAAATTATGTGAAAATAGTCAATAAATAAGAAGCAAAACTACAATTTTGATTATATTCATGCTTCCTACCTAACCAAGTTTTTCCTAATAGTTATTCTTTAAAATCGCTCCTAATATAATGAATTAGTTGTAATATTCATTCACTTCATACTGAGTTCATAGGTACTAAGTTCAAAGGTTGACCTATGCTTCATTGAATATGAAACAGAACCCAATTTTTTTTTTGTTTTCCTAATAATTTAAGTTCTCAGAAGTGTCCGTCAATAATCCTTGTTTTTACAGTCATTAACTTGCGATTTTGAACCTAGAAAATAATATTTCATGATTGTTGGTTCTTAGGCCAACTATGTATGGACGCAGAACAATGTCCTTTACAGTCAGCATGGAACAATATGTTAGGTACACACATCAAAAACAGTTTGAGATCACTTGCAAAAGCTGATATATTGTCAAAATTTAACTTAACCAAGAGAAAATGTTTACGTAATATCTTTTTTTATTTAAAAATACACTTTCTGAAATAAAAAAATAAAACGTCAATAAATAAATAAAGTTTCGTGCATGAACCCGTAAAAACTAGTTTTATTTAAATAAAACTAATTTTATTTGTGTGATTGTAATAGAACTTTGATAGAAATAAAAATATAGTTTAATCAAACCTAAAAACCTTTTATTAATAAATTATTGTTTATCTAATACAAAATAACTCAGACTACTACAAAATAACGCTCGAACACATGCGGAGATCCTCCTGGGCATGCTAAGGATCAAGTTATCCAGTATTTCTTGTGGTAACTTGTCCCATTCTTGAATAGCAGCTTCCCTGAGCTGCGGCACTGTCTGGGGTGGCGGCTGCCGGTTCCAAACAGCTCGCTTAATAGCATCCCACGAGTGCTCTATTCGGTTTAAACCAGGAGAGCCGGCAGGCCAGTCTAACCTTGTGATTTCGTATTCTCGATGAGCAGCATTGACTCGTCGTTGAGCTCGATGTGCGGGTGCATTATCGTCAACCAGTACAAGTTGGTGCCCATGGTTTACTCGGATAGGTCTCGATTCTATCAATAGTTTTGTATCTGTCTGCCGTCATGAAGCCTTGATAAGGGATTAAAGGCGTTCTAGCCCCAATCGTAATACCACCCCAAAATGACACTGATTTCCCGCCTTGCTGAACCGTTTCTTTGCCTTTTCGTTTCTTCGTTTTGCCGGAGCCTAGCTCACTGTATACTCCGTTGCTGAAGTTCCCGTGAATTCAAAGGTACTCGCCAAGACCTCCGTGCTCGTAATCCAGCCTTGTGTAAGCAATTCCGAATGGTGTGAATGCTAACTTTAAGTCCGGAGGCGGCCCGTATTTCTGCTTTTAATATCTTTGTTGGGTCGCGGGCTACCAGCAACCTAATGTAGCGCTTCTGAGCAGCTGACAAAACAGTTGGGCGACCGCTGCGGGGTCGATCAGCTAAATTACTCTTGCCGTGGTACCTCTGCAACGTGGTTACTACACAGGATTGAGATATGGCAACTCTGCGTGCTATTTCTCTCTGCCTTCTTCCCGCAAAGGTACAATTCTGGCTCGTAAAACATCTGATAATCCTCGTGGCATTTTTTAAATCACAACTTTCCGTGAAAAAATATTTTAAATTCGATAATATTGACTAATTCAGATTTCTGAATGAGTGTCAGCTTGGATTGCATGTCTTTTTATATGGAAAAACAAATGAATTATTTTATTGTTTTACGTTCTAATTCTAACTTTAAAATTGATAATCTTATCAGAAAAAGAAATTTCAAAAAAGTCTTCTGTAACACAAAAACAATCTATTTTTCAAAGTGATCGCAAACTTTTTTTATATGTATATATAATAATAGACATTTTACAACGTTTTCATATGCAAGAACTGTGAGGAACAAAATGTCAAAGTATTTTTTAATTATTTGAAAATACTCACCCAATACTAATTTTTTGGCGAGGAAGTTACTAACAGTGTCTAGTGGAGATCCACATTTAACTACTGGGTCCTCACTCAAAAGTCCTAATGATTCCAAGGCATTTGCACCTTGAATGCCAATTCTTTCTGCTAATTTTGTCTTCAAATTCTCATAAAATATAGATGAGTCCATCAGTCCGAGGAGTTCACAAGCGAATTGTCTCTATATTAAAAAGAAAAATATATTATCTAGTATAAGTACATAAACATAAGTAATGGAAAAATCACTGAAAACTGCTTACCCATGTAAGTTTTGGACCTTCGGGATGTAATGAAGGATGAGGGCTCGGATCAATGAGTCCGAAGAACTGCATAGCCTTCATTGTCTCTGCAAAACCTGTATAATAAACATGTAATGTATTATCTAAGACGTTTTTACTAGAAAAAAAAACTTGTCTCTGGAGAAGGTTTAACCTGCACATTTCTCTGTATAGGCAAATACACTATTATAGTCCAGTCATTGAAGCGAAAAATACGGTCTTACCTCCGAATTTTTAACTGTGAACCGATTTGCATGAAATTTTGGAATTAGGCTCATCTTACCCTTAACTTCAAAAGTGAAAATGATCTGAACTCCGCCTATTATTTTTTAAGCCTTAATGGAAAAATTGACATTGAGCTATTTTATCGCAAGAAAATATGTCTAATAGTAAGTGGTGAAATTGTAAAGTATTTTCTAACATAATTACCTCATATTAAAATCATTTTCAACCCCTTGAAAATCTTATAACCCTTGCAAACAACCCCTAAATTGAAAAAATCACAAAAAAATACTTTGGTATGACATAAAAAGATGTAAGTATAGAGTAAGTAATATTTTATATTCTCTATAATAATTATCAAATTTTTAACCCCCTTTCAACCCTTGAAAACTACCCCTTGATAAAAAATCGTTAAAAAAATTTTTTTCATAAAATGAAAAGGATTTAAATATTATTCCACACTCTCGAAAATGATTATCATATTCTTAAGCTTTTCTACCCTTAAAACTACCCCTAAATTAAAACAGTAAATATATATGATTACATATTTAAAAATAATTTAATTTACAGTGAAAAATTGCCATTTATTGAATAAAATATTTACAAATTATATTAAATTGTACTATTATTATTAAAATATAATATTATTATTCATGACTCAATGTTGGAGTCGCTGTCACATTCACATATTACATTAATACGAGAATAAGCTTAAAAGCCGACCAGGCTAGTCAATAAATAATTAAACAATTTACTTTATTTACAAAATAAATTCTATTTTATAAAATTACCTGATATAAGATGCAGACTGGATTAAGTGCTGCTATCGTGCTCTTTGAATAGTACGAACGTCAATACTAGTAGAATATATTTTCATTAGATTTTTGGATAATATAATTTTATGGCACAATTTTCATAAGATATTATTAAAAAAACAGGTTTTTTATCTACTTACATTTTTTTGTTAAACAAAATGTATTGAAATTAGGTGTCTAGTTAAAATATTATATTATACACGTGCTCATTCCTTTACAGACGGAAATATACTGGTCACATTATAACGAATAAACGGAGCACGCACAGCTGATCACATGGCTTTTTCGTTGGCCCCTTCACTCAAATGTGTTATATATACATATAAGAACGTTAGTATGTATTCATGCCTACGTTTCCAAAATATATGAGCCATATTATGTATATATATACACATTACAATAGTTGTGGGTCTCTATTATACTGCGTACTTTCACATTGCTCCAAATTTTCAGTTACTAAGTAGAAAAAAATATGATAAGTTTTTGGACCATAACTTCTTCAATTTTCATGCTATCACAATTTATAAAAAATCATTGTAAAGGTAATTAAGAGAGCTACAACATCCTTCATTGCAATATATAGTAAAGACCTTTTTCTAAAACGGTGAAGGGTAAGGGCTTAAGAGAGGCTGTGATTGCGCTGCCACGCGCTCTTTAAACAATCATATCTCCGTCAATTTTAGTTTGACAGAAAAAACAAAAAAGCCAAATTGTTTGTCAGAAAAATACCTAAATTTTTAATCCATGCACTTTTATACCTATCTGTCGTCATATTATGAAAAAAAGTGGGTGTTTCAAAAATTTGAAATTTTGTTTTTTTTTAATCGTGACTTTTTTTAAAAATATGTGTCCTGAAGCAGCCAAACTGACACTATCTATCAAACTTTTCATAATAAAGTTAATTCTAGGCGGAATACGATTAATTTTAATTTTGGTGGAAATGGCACTTATGAAACCCATTGATTTAAAAGAAAAAACATTAGATGCTCCCCTTATTTGCAATACAGCTCACTTATTTTACGTGCAAAAGACTTTTAATAGTGCTCATTTTAAAGCATATTTCAAGCACTACAAAACCCTTTTGTATTAGAATGCATAAAATGCATCTGCTCGCCGCTAGATGGCATTGACCAATCAATTAAATTTCAGACAAAATAAAAAACGGCTTCGATCTTTAATATCTAGCTTAATATTGTACTTAGAATACTTTATAAAAAACCAAATTGTTCATTGTTTTACCTGCTACAATTTTGTTCTTTATAAAATTTTCGATAAAACGTATATTTTTGGAGATATTTGCAAAAAACCGATAAAAACGTGATTAAATTGTGAATTTTCAATGCCCAATAACTTGAAAAGTATTGGATTTATTGAAAAACTTTATAGATGATTTTTTGCTTAAAATTAGGCCTTCTGGGTCAGGCCGTAAATTTTGCCACATTAGTTATAACTCTCCACCACATTTAAAAAAAAAAAGTAAAGTAATTAGATTTTTTTCAATAACAGAATCATATTTCCTCACAAATGGTGAATCGCGATCAATAAATATATTTAAATATCTTCAAAACCTTAGAAATTTATAAAATATTTTGCTACAATAAGCGATGAATTTTTCGTAAAATACGCTTATCCGCCCCGGTAGAGGTGCACTTTGAGCATCAGTAAAATCAAAAATAAAAATCTTTTTGATAGTCTGTTTGCTTTTACGCTATACAATAATAATTAGCTAGCCACATTTTAAATATCGTTTCCTATTACCTAAGAAATTTCATAAATTTTCACTCATTTTCGAAAAACGTTAAAATCCATTCCTTTGCGCTACTTTTTATTGCGCAATTAATAAATGCCCATTTGGTTGTGCTTAAAAAATAGCAGTATTCAAGTCTGAGTAGTGGCAATACCGAACATACTTTGTCTATGGTCAATACGCTGTCAGCGGTCATATTTTTTTCAGTCCAACATCAACATCGTTTAGGGATGTCGAAAGTTGAAAAAAAATGGTTGCCTGTAAAGTCGGTTTTACGGGCGAAGATTTTACGTGACAACGTCTTTTTCTCGGTAGAATATTTATTGATATGAATATAATTAAATTGCACAATAGGAACAAGGAATTGAATGAAAATAAGAATTGCACAAATTTTAACTATAGAAATATATTTTGTTTACTAAAACATTGTACATGTAAACTTAAACTTAACACGAGAGACTCATCGTAACGTTACCGAGCGTTACACTTTTTCATAAGTGACTCCCAGCCGCAACCTAATTTAAGACGTTGTCACGTCAAAATATCGATATATCGATACATCGATATTTTAAAAAATATCAATATCGGCTTCGATATATCGCGAAAAAAAATATCGATATATCGGGCCAATTTTTCCAAAAATATATTTAGGTCAGCCTAGCATAGTAATAATAGTTCAATACAAATTATAATTAAAGAAAGAATTATCAAAGTACCAAATTGCCGCTACGCTACATGACAGTACAGTATCTCACGAAATATAACACGCGGAATAATAATGGAACGAAAATTATCTCCCTAAAAATAGACCCTATTTTCGAATGATGAAAATGCCAATGCCAGGGCCTCTCAGGTGCCATCTTTCGTAAACACGACTAGACAGTCACACACTTCCACAGAATATAATGGAAATCAGCACAACCAATTCACCAGCGAAACAGATTTACAAATAATAGACAATACTAAATACAGCACAGATCATAGATATGTTGAATATCATTAATCTGAGATCTAGTTACGATTTTTCCAGATACGAATTTAGTTAGATCGTGATATGCCGCTAATAATTAAAAAAATATCGTTTTCGATACGAATTTCGATATTGGTTATTTTGTATCGATATATCGAATCAAAATATATCGGCAAAAAATATCGATATATCACACAAAAAATATCGATATATCGATACATCGATATATTTTCAACAAGCCTAACATCGTTTGAAAGAAGGAAGTGTCATATTTTTTGCGGAGAGCCTCTTTTGATATATCACGGTAAGTTTTTGATTTATATCTATACTTATTATTGCGCACGATTTAATGAAATGTTTGACATCTTTCAAGGCTTAATTTACATTAAAAAATAGCTTATTTATCAAGTTATAATGGGTTTTGTTTGCGCAACAGTTGCGCAAAAATGACTTTATGCAACTTTGCGATACCAGGGGCGTAGAATTTGCGCTACTAATTTTACGCTACCAAATAAAGGAGCTTACACACATAGGCTTGCAGGTGTTTTTTTTAGCTTTTGTAATATTTGTGTTTTTTTTTGAGGTTTCGATTTTAGTTCCTGTGAAGGAATTGTATTTCTAGCAATAGAACTCTCCGCTTTTTTGTAACATCTTTTAAGACTTAAAGATAAGAGTAAAAGTTGACGTTTGTCATACTAACCTATTAAAAGTGTGTTTTATTTTGTAGCACTGTCCTTACGTTACATATCTTGTATGCACTCCTTAACAATTTTGCGTTGCCATTTTACGTCACTCTGCGCTATGGACTCGTAGAAATTTTTGCGACACCAGTGCGCTATTTGTGGCAAAATCTACGGCCTGACCCTTCTATCGATATACGAGGTTATTTTGAAAAAAAAAATCACCCCTGAGAAGGGGTGGCAACCACCCCCAGGGTGGTTGCGGAGTTCAAATCGTTTTCACTTTTGAAGTTAAGAGTAAGATGAACCTAATTCCAAAATTGTATGCAATTCGGTTCACAGTGAAAAAATTCGGAGCAATAATGCTTCAATGACTGCACTATTAAATAAGCTTACCTCGATACCTCAAAGTGCCTCTGAACATCGTGTGCGCATCCTCTACTCCATATAGTTTTGAGTAGATCGTACTGTCTCTGTTGGGGAATCCTTCGAATGCTAGACCTGGTAGGAAATCCAACTCTCGAGCCACCGACATCAGTTCTCCACCGCCCAAGACTTCGACTACCTGCAGAGAGAAATAAAGGGTCACTTGCACCAGCATTCTTGTTTCAAATTTAAAGCTTCTTCCAGTTCAGCAAATCACTTTTACCCTAGCTTCAAAGTAAGCACGGTTAGGCTTGTTTTATGGGGTGCTAGGGGTAACAGATAGAAATTTATTTTTTCAAGAAATTGGTATATAGATACTGCCTTGACTAGAGTACGTACAAATAAAAATACTTCGTATTCATGAACACACATTTGATTCACTCGGGTTCGAATCCAGAGTTTAATTATACAAAGTTTTTAAAATTATGTTCCTAAAAAACTTCAGAACCTATCGCATTAAATATAAACTTTATTGATACCTGTCCTTTGCTTAAGTATTTAGCCCCGGAAATTGTATTAAGCAGAACTCCACGAGGATTCCATGAGAACTTGTATCTCATCGCATTGTCACTGAACTCCGGTGCAGGTAGTCCTAAAAATGTATACAGGAGTTAATAATTGCGTCTCATATTTTCCACACATGCCTTAATGGATCATTTACACGAGGCCGGCCTAATAGCAGAGACTATCCATTGAGCCAATTACAAAATAATGGTATCCTCTAAATAGAGACAATCCACTGCAATGGATTGACCTCAAGCCATTCTCCCTATTTTATTGGTAGATATTTTATTGGTAGATATTGAATTGGCTCAGTAAGTTGGCCTCGTGTTAATGATCCACAACAGTTTTTTCTGTATACCTCCACAATACGACACAAATGTGTCAATTCTTCCTCCATGGTTCTGAATGTCATGGATACATTCCAGAGCTAGCAGATGATCGATGCCGGGGTCGAGTCCTACTTCATTAAGTAACGTTACTCCAGCTTCCTTAGCACTGGAATAAAATTTACGCTGTCGTTATGAAAACTTTTATTCGAGTCCCGTCTGCTGCCTGGTCCGCGTGGAATTTTTTCTAGTTATATTTTCTTTAGATTTAAACATCAAGCAGTTACATGCTTAAAAATAATAAAAATTATAACTTTTATTGTTATACCGACGCATGTAGCGTTTGCATACGTTGCAATTAAGCGTGTGATTTATTGGAATACAGTTTTTTTTTTCATTTCTCAAGTTTTAAGAGTCATTTTGGATTATTGCATTACATTTGGTTCATGTCTAACCGTTAACTAAAGTTTATCCATTTATAATGGCCACTAAATTAAATTCCTAGTACCTACTTCTGAAACCCGGTGGACTAGGTTTGTCTAGATGAGTTCATGTCTGAGCCGACACTAATACACGCCTTGGTGATGGCATACAGCGACACCGTTTATGTATCTGGTGTAATACTTACTCGTTGCGTAGTTGCTGACATAACTGTATCTCTTACTAACTCCTTGTGAAGTTCCTAGAACTCTGGCTGGACGTAGGAAGCAGACCATGTTCGAGCCGGCGCTGATGCAAGCCTTGACAAAGGCAGCCTGAAGTTCGTACGGCAGTAGCAACACTACCAGGCGGGCCTGAGATTTAAACATGCATCACCTGTGTCAGGTCTCATACTCACTCTTTGTGCAGTTCCTGGACCTCTGGGCGGACGTAGGAAGTAGTGACCATGTGCAAGCCGGCGCTAATGAGAGCCTTGGCGATGTTGGCGTACAGCTAAACAACCAGGCAAACCAGAGGCGCAAACATACATAACTGTATCCCATACTCACTCTTTGATTTCCTGGACCTTTGTGCGATCGTAGGAAGCAGTGACCATGTGGCAGCCAGCGCTGATGCACGCCTTGGTGACGGTGGCGTACGTACAGTGATGCAAGCAGGAAAATCAGAACCGCAAACATAAATATCTGTATCTCATACTCACTCTTTGTGTAGTTCCTGGACCTCTGTGCGGACGTAGGAAGCAGTGACGATGTGGTAGCCAGTGCTGATGCACGCCTTGGCGGCGGTGGCGTACCTACAGTGATACTACCAGGCAAACCAGAGGCGCAAACATACATAACTGTATGTCATACTCACTCTTTGTGTAGTTTCTGGACTTCCGGGCGGATGGAGGAAGCAGTTACCATGTGATAGCCGGCGCTGATCCACGCCTTGGCGACGGCGACATACAGCGATACAATGAAGCAAACCAGAGACGCAAACATAAATAACTGTATATCAAACTCACTCCTTGTGTAGTTCTTGGACCTCTGGGCGGACGTAGGAAGCAGTGACCATGTGGCAGCGGGCGCTGATGCACGCCTTGGCAACAGCGGCGTGAAGATCGTACGGCAGCAGCGACACCACCAGGCGGGCCTTGGATGCGAACGTCCGCAGAGCGATCTCGTCGTTCGCCTCCAAGTACTCGGACCGGACGCCGTACCGTTCCGCCAGAGCATCCGCCTCTTCTTTCACTTGCGAAGCTGTTTGTATTGTATTCTTATTATTGTTTCATGGTAGAACATAGGTTGTGACTACTTTGTTTTGTAGGTATGATGTTATTTTATTTGGCCCATAACTTTTTTTTATCTTGTAGTGTAGCATGTATTATAATATTTATTAGCTATTTATATTTTGTCAATGACAATTAAATGGTCATTTAATATAATAAAATTTTAAACTACTTCATTTGCTAAATTTAATTTTCACTTTGCACCAACTACCTTCGTTATTCGGACTCGGACTGACTCTATATATACCTTTATAATGCTATTAATGGTAACTTTCCAATTACAGCATTATAGCGCATTATGCGGCATAATGCTTAACGTTCAGTGTTTCAACTACAGCAACGCTTCGCACAATCGAGCACTCTCAAAAGTAATGCTTTCGTGTGATGCGTGCAATCGTACCAACTCAGAGACAGAAAGAAAATTAACGTGTTTTTTCTTTAAGTTGGCATTGATCCAAATGTTTTATTTATATGTTATCGTTAGTAATATTATTTATTATTGAAAAATTATTAAAACTTTCGTTTCATTAAAGTTTTTTTTTTAAATAATCAAAGTTAATTCAAACTGTGTTAAAAAATTAAATATAAATATGGATGAAGGTACAAACATTGACTTTTTTTTTCAACACTGAATTTAGCGCACTCAGCTGGTGCATTTGAAAACTAATTTACGTTCCAACGACATTGTGCGCCACTGAGTCGCATTATGCTCTGTAATTGGAAAACCACCAATTTGTCACAATCACCAATACTGTCACTGTTAGCCGGGAGTCAATTTAACATTACGAGGAGCTCGTTGGTGCAAGTGGTCAGCGCATTCGGCTGCAATCGTTGAAGTTAAGCAAATTACGCAGTGGTCAGTCATTGGATGGGTGACCAAAACATTACTATCTCGAGCTTCGCCGTGCTTCGGAAGGCACGTTAAGACGTTGGTCCTGGCTGCATCTGTAGTCGTAAGCATCCACCAATCCGCACTGGGCCCGCGTGGTGGGTCATGGCCCAATCTCCCTATTCCATTCATAGGGAAGACTCGTACCCCAGCAGTAGGGACCTTAATAGGCTGATAATTATGAAATACTGTCACAATATTCTACATCTGTATAAACATTCAAACCAGATTCTAGTGCCAATAAATTACGTAATAATAATAGTTTTAACTTCTGTTATTGATCAAGGTATAATACCAATGGTTACGGCGATGTTTTTGTCCCGGGCCAGATATTCGACTACAGGCGCGGAGACCAATCCGCTGCCCATTATCACCACAGGTACTTGCTGCTCATTACCCTCCACCTTGTGTCGCGATCGTCTACGAATTTCATTTTTTTGTTAGTAATGTTACTCAGTGTTTATCTTTTGGATTCACAGATTATCCATTAGTATCCTCTGCGGGAGTAGTTAATGCGGAAACAAATCTCGACAGTATTGATTTTTGCATAGACGGAATAGATAGCCGAAAAAGTTATCGTAGAGGTACTATTTTATTAACATAGAGAAGCTTCATGGTGCAGGTGGTTAGTGTGTCGGGTCTGCGATCATGGAACTTAAGCAACTGCCGGTCAATGGATGGGAGACCACAACTTATCGTCTCGTTTTTTTTTTAATTTCCAACACACACCAATTATTGGCCTAGCCCCAAAGTAAGCACTGTAAGGCTTGTGTTTTGGGATACTAGGGTAACGGATAGAATACATACACTGTACATATATAAGTATATTTTTATTTAGATATACATATGAAACATCCATGATTGGAGTACAAATGCTCGTATTCATCACACAAACATCTGCCCCCACCGGGATTTGAACCCGGGACCTCTCGAGTCGGCGACATCATGAAACCCGGCGTACAAACCACTCGACCACGGTGGTCGTCGAGTTCATCCGTGCTTGGGGAATCACGTTAAGCCGTTTGTCCTGGTTGCATCTGCAGTCGTTAACATCTATCTCCTCGTCATGGCCCATTATTCCCAAGCCATCTATAGGGAAAGCTTGTGCCCCAACAATGGGACATTGCTAGGCATGTAGCCCCAGAATTAGTACATCAAATCAAAATAGGTCAGTAACGAACGACAAAACGCCTTTGTATTGCTTCTGCCGCCCAGGGCCATGGGCAAACACAGTCCTGCTGATGATGATGAATGTATTGTGAAAAGACATGCTTATCTATGGTACGTATAGTGTCACACTGCTGCATCGTGCTGTTTTACTTTAGTTTCAGGTAGAGACAAATTGATACTCCATGGAATACGTTCTTCTTGACTGACACCACTGCAGCACTGATATTTTTTGGACTTGGACAAATAAACTATGATTGGGTGTACAGACCGGTTTTTTATATTAGATATCGGAGTAGCTCGGAGACAATGAAAACTATATTTAGATAAAACTGCTTTCAATACAACATCTAAATCAGAGAAACTCACGTATTTGAATTGCGAAGTTCATTGATATACTCGAAGTCAGGAGTCAATTTCCCGTTACTTGTTATGATAGCCTGTAAATTGAAATTAATTTATTAATCGCCACATCAACACCTATCGGGCACTTAATATTATAAGTTACAACAGTCTGTAGCAAAAATATAATTCATTTAGGTTGAGCACTATCAATATATTTTTTAAAACACACGAATAAGATGGTTCATATAAATAAGCTTCGAAACTGCGTAAAAACTTTTTGCTTAATGTTTTAACGGTCTCTCCGTTAAAACCATATAGGTCATAAAAACTTTTCAGCTTTTGTCGGTGGATTAACTTTTTTGATGCAAAGTTTCTATTTAATTATTTTTTGTGGCTTAAATTTTTGTAATATACAACTGCATCAACATCTGTAAATGAACAATCACCCCTATTTCCCCGCCCTTAGTGGAGTTTTGTTTCCAAATCTAGGATCAGTATCTAGGAACAACTTTGAGGTAATATACAATAAAAACCAACCAAGTGCGTGTCGTGCCACGCGCAGTGTAGTAAGATAGATATTTAAGGGTTTTTTTTTATTATTTTTCAATTTAAGGTTTATCATCTAAGTCATATTGAATGCGTTCCTATAAGGATTTTTTTGACAAACTCTTAAAAAACTGTTCTATCTTAAATGTCATAATTTTCTTTGAAAGTTCAAAAAAGCACTATTAACATAATATTGTCAGATTTTTTCAAGCCAATAGTTTAGCTTTTAGAGGGGCGGGGGGGACCTACTCGAACAAAAATTTACACTTTAATGTTTATCATATAAATCGAAAAATATTCTTAGCATCCCTCGTCCCAAGTCGTTTTAAATGACCTATTTAACGATACCCCACACGATGGGGAGACGAAGACGGTAGCTACCCTAAAAAGTATTTTTTTTCCAAATTTACATGGGACCATCATGGGACAATTTCTCTGTAAATATGTGTGATCATACATATAAAACAAATTATGTGTCGACTTCATTACCTCTTTCGTTGTTTTTAGTCGTTTGAAAACTTAAAATTCTAGGCGGGCTAGTTCGAATTCAGCCTATTACCAGTTTAACGCATATAAATAAAAATGTAATAAAATCATTCTTTCATGTTAATGAGGTTTACAATTTTTACACTTAAGCAATATGTATGTATTGATGTAATATACAGGTCATCTATTTTTTTAATTAGACATTTCAAGAACACACACTTTAAAACTATATAGCTTAGGTTAAGCTATATAGTTTTAAAGTGTGTGTGACATATTTTTTTATTTTGTTATGTAGGTACATAACAAAATAAAAAAATATGTCACCCATATGAGTTTTTATTATTTATTTTGCGGCTGTTGTTATTTGTGTGTGGAAATACACGGTACACTGATAACTCGACCATGTGGGTTGCCACGCACAGCTCACTTACTATCAGCTGACTGATAAAGCATAATGCTATCTAATTAAGTATCGAGGAACTTAGCATAGATTACGTAAGAAGTAAGTTGATACTTATATTTGAAATCATTTCATCTAATCGCATTTACTCGCCGATGTTAGAAAAACAAATACACTCGACCGCCAAGAAACCGGGTCACCCGCTAGTGCATTGAAAATCTGATTCGATTTTCTCATAAACTATAAAACTTACAATAATCAAAATTATACCTACAAAAAGTGCCTTTCATAATGATATAAATTAAAAAATATATTTTAAAGTACTGTCAACTTACTGTGTTATCAAGCATGAAACACAATGCTAACGATTTGCTAATGTATGAATAAAGTTGCGATTAGCGTTCTTATGTATAAAATTAAGATAGTCTTTGTTAGTTCTGTGTATAGTTTTCTCCAAACGTGTGGTTTCTTGCTACGTTTTTACTACCGATTAATCACGACTGGGAAATGACTCTTCGAAAAATTCTTAAAGAATATATAAATCTCAATAAACTTCTATTTATTTTAATCATCTGAAAGACATTTTCTGTAAGTATAACTTTAACTGTGGTAGGTTTTATACTTTTTGAGAAAATCATATCAGAGTTCCGAGTTAGCAAGTGACCCGATTTATTAGCTGTTCAGGGTTTACATATTATTACAATACTAAGTAAATACTATATTTTTTTATTTAATATAGGTTTTTAACTTTCGATGTAAATACTAATATAGCTTTCAGCACTTAGCTAAGCTCATTCTCTAGCCTTATACCACGCTTATGCCTAAGTAATTAAAAGAGATGAGTACTTCTAAAAGAAAAGGTCTTTGGGATAGCACTTACCCCCTTGACCACAGACGAGAAATTGTGTTCTTCTAAGGGCTTAGTCGCGTCAGACCTCATAATATCTTCCGCATATGGGAAGAGAAGATCTCCAAAGAAATCAGTAGATTCTCGTGGCAGCTGCGTGGGCATATTGTCTATAGAACACACCAAAACACCCGGACCTTTAAAGCTGTGAAAGAGAAACAAGTTGATTTGTTATTTTTGTCTATCAACAAAATCGTACAATGTTTAATATACGGTGTTTCGCAAGGTAATATAATAGGGCCGACGCTATTCCTCTTTAACTTATATGACTTGTATTATTGTATTGCGATTAGGGCTTTCAAAAACCGAATTTCTTCAATATTGGTATTAGTTTGATCAATACCGTGATCACGGCATTGAACACGTATTCAATTAGGATATGAACAAAACTTATTAATAAATTTTATTTTCGAATCAGTTTTTATTATTGTTACTTTCTAAAAATTATTTTACAAAGCTCTCATATTTAAGTAAAGCAATTTGGTATTGAAATATTATATGACTAAGAATTAGGAACCTAAACAAAAATTACACTAAATGCCATCATGTTAAAATCAACAATCAAGAAATCATTTGGTATTCGTTTTACTAACATTCACGCGCGGTACTTCGTTGAGTAGACACACGTCCTCTGCCAGAAGTGGTATTTCTCCGATTGATTGTACGGTTATCAAGGATACTGAAATGGCAACGGGGACCGCTTCTTCTCGTTGTGCAAAATGTAAAAAAGTTTTGTGTCATCGGCTAGAGTATTTTTCGTGCAGTAGTAGCACATTTCATTTCAGCTGCAGTGAAATTACTGAGAGTGTGTTTGAGAGATTTGGGTCAAATAGAAGGAATTGTTTGTGTTCTGCCCTGACAATAAATCTTAACCTATTTCTACTGCAAAACCATTGAGCCAAAAGGAAGATCAAGTTCAGAATATGTAATCGTATGTTGATTGTGGACCCGACATAGGTCATACGCGAAGTTAATACTGGCTAAGATATCCAGTTTCGAGGCTCAATTCGCCGCTCTCCAGTCATTGCTATTCAATGTTAAATGTGTTGAATAACGTTGTATGACATTCGTGTGGAATTGGTTTTTACAAACTTGCGACTATGGTAACCTCGACTTCGTCTGGGGCTTACATTCGTCTACTGGTTTTTAATAACCAATTTACCGTCCTAATATCATAAATAACTATTAAAACAATAAAATTCGCTTACACTCAATGTGGTTGGTTTTATTTATGATATTTGAGCTCGAGATGAACAGTTTACATTTGAAATGCGAAATTTTTGCTCACTGCTGTATAATAATAATATAATGACCGATGCACAATGTTAAATTGATAGGATGACATAATAAACAGAAAGTAATTAAACAATTTCAAGCCAATTACACATTACGAGAATATAGACATAGGCAATTTTATTATAATATTCAAGGAGGAAGTCTGTCAATATAATCTACGTAAAATTTCATTTTACTTGTGTTGAAGAATAATTGCTGGTTGCTACCAATACCAACCAACGACGACGTTGCGTGATATTGCGAACAGACGCATACGATGAGTACCGTTAGAAAAGAAGCGACTGTTTACATAAAATTTGTTTGGGACGTTGTGGTCCGTGATCATCCATCGGCGTCCGTATGCAATAACCGCAGACTATATATAGGCTGACTAACCGATTAACTTTGGTGGAATCGTGAGAACTCACAAAGCAAGCCGTCTTTTTGTGATTTGTTTTCTATTACTCTGCATGGCTGTTACCTTTTTGTGTCTTTATTTCTATCGGCATCGTAGAGGCAAAATGGAGTATCTATAGTAGTGCATTCGTTCATGAACTCTATAGAGCCGCCAGGATCAGCAGATATATCGCAGATTGCCAGCATTCTAAATAAAAAAGAAAAATAAAAAGTATTTATTAAATTTGAATATATGACGACCTTCGTGTTAGCACCGGTTTTCAAGGTGTCTGTGGAGCTCCCGGTGTTTGTATGAAGAATACGAGTATTTGTACCTGGGCCATGGCTGTTTTTAAATATATTTCTAGGAAAATGAACAAGACACACATTAACATGTAATTAATTATCTTTACTGCTTAAGTAGATTGTACTTACATATATTTTTTTATTATACTTAAATACACTGACCTGCAAAACTTAGTATTACATTTCTAAAAATTCAATATTTTCTACATTACACAAGTTAGAGATTTAAAATATAAATTTTTTTTAGCAATTTTTATCAGTTTTCTTTGAAAGTGTATTATAAAATTAAACTCTTATTCGAGTCGTTTTTATTCCGTAACTTTATGTGTAACTATGTGTGTACTTAAAAAGTTATTGGAATTTTAAAAGTGTGATACTTAATTTTGCGGGCCAATGTAGATTGTACTTACATAAAGTAAAACATAGGAAGTTAGTAATTACCTTACATTGAATACAATGATTAATTCATTATAAGTAGCTTTATAGACGAACTCCGTGGCCGAGTGGTTAATACGCCGGGTTTCATGGTGTCGCCGACTTGAGAGGTCCCGGGTTCGAATCCGAATCCCGGTGGGGGCAGATGTTTGTGTGATGATTACGAGCATTTGTACTCCAGTCATGGATGTTTATTATATATTTATATATAAATATACTTTTATATGTACAATATATGTATTCTATCCGTTACCCTAGTATCCCATAACACAAGCCTTACAGTGCTTACTTTGGGGCTAGGCTAATTGGTGTGAGTGTTGGAAATATTTATTTATTCATTTCGTACCTGTGAGGTAGAGCAGGTGCACCAATGCTCTTAGGCAACCATGGTGTATTGGACGGTAACAACAGGTGCTTTGCGTCAGGTATGGTCAGCAGTTTTGGGCTGTCAACTGCCCAGTATATACAGTTCACCAATACTGAAGTGTAGGAAGCAATCTACCAACAAATATTTAGTTAAGTTAATAGAAATTCTTAATTTTAAATTTAATTTTTAAAGAATAATGGTGTTATGGATGATCATCATTATCATTTCATTTATGTAACCGCAGTTCGCAACGCAGGCGCATTCCTAAGATTTCTACTCATGATGAACTCATGTAACACGAGTATATTGGACCGTAATTTAACCCAAAACTTGGATCTAGACTAGATGCAGGATTAAAGACTGTTACTACAGCTTGGTTCATCTGCCTAACGTTCTGTCTCTGTTGCAACTTTCAAAAGTCATCTTAGCATAACTTCTGATGTCCTACCTAACACTACTAATCCGTACAAAACTGCAGGTCTTATGATAGTTTTAACAATTTTCTCGATCAACTTAGATTCATAATAAGTTTATGATATTAAACTAAATTAATACTTATTTTTTATTTTTTAAGCATTTAATTGCAAGATGTTCAAATCTCAATATATCTCACTTAATTTTCTCCCCTACGAATGTTTGTTCTTAATCAAAATTTATCATTGGTAGATTACTTTTTTTTATTTGTAATTTGTTGTAAAGTTTATCATAGTTAAGTAGTTCCTCATCTGACCAGAATTATGCTCATATATTATTCAATATTATTACTTATCCCAGTTTTTATCAAATGATATATACGTTGATTATTTATAATTGTATTTTGATTTATGGAATGTGTTTTATCGGTATTTTTTACTATCAGGTAATTTTATTATTATAGATAGCAAATTGTACGATAGTCAACCATACCAAAATAATAATGATAATTATCATTTTTCCGTAGGTGTGACATGATACGAGATCGATAATATTTAACAAGACAATGAACTCCTTTAATTTTTTTATGTGAAAAGGGTGACAAACGCCTGCAAGCAGACAGTAGTAACTCCAATTTTTGTCAAAACGGTTGGTTTAGTTTTTAGATGCGCCTTAATTGGGACTGGGGTTGAAATTAGATACCTACCGACTTTTAAATTATATATACTCCGTAAGTGCATTACTGTTGTACTACTAAGCGGGCTGGAAAAGTGTATGGAAATCTATTGGTAACGCGCTTAACGGGAAGGAAAGTCTATGAAAATTCATTGTCAACGTGTCGTTTATTTTATGGTCCCACTGATTTCACAGGTCTCAACCCACACAGGGCCCAATCTGCACTAGTCTCAATCCGTACTGGTCCCAATACACACTGACCCCAATCCGTACTACACACTCGTCACTTTCTCCTCTCGGTGAACAATGTACTATTATTTTCTATTACTTGACCTAATGTAGTAATTAATGATATTATCATGTACACTTCAACTCGCACTTGACCGGTTTTAATGAACTTACTCTTTGGGCGAAGGTTGAAATATATCTTTCAGGATGCTCTTCATACTCCTGGTGGTCATAGCCTCCCCCGTTCTTCCTCTCCAGGTGATGCCTCCGACGAACTTCGCATCCATATATTTTATTTGGACCTATTCAAATAAATAGTTTCTTCATAATCATTAAAAGTAATGAATGATAAATACGCTTCTGATAAGTCTTTTCCTGTGACAAATATTGTAAGTACTTAGTGACAAAATTCTAATCATTGAATAAAATTACTGTGAATAATATAATTAGTATCTATAGATAAAATGAAATACATTACGTCATACTAGTATTCACGAATATTAAGAATGTAATTATCTCTGTTTAATAATTATTTTTCTTTATTTACTTGGTATAAACACGCATGTAAATAATTGAATAGTCAATTTTTGTTTTGCAATTAAGAGATATTTTTTGTTTCCTGAAATATTTTCTATATATTATAAATTTGTTCTTTCGGATGTTTGATAATGGTAAAATTATTTCATTTGATTGTATAGTTTATGGTCCAAGAACACTAAAAGAAATTCTACACGTCCAAGGTCTCGTAGCATGCGGTAAGTGCACTCGCCCGGATTGCAAAGACGCTCGACCAGCCTAATACCTTGGCTGAATTGAATTTTCTCTAGTAACGCTTAAGATTCGTTTTCTTACTTCCGTGTTCAGCCACCTTCCTTAACATTTCAGGAGGGACATATTCATAGGGCAACTCCTGGAATATTTCTTGACTTCCCTAAAAGTGAAAGAAGATATTTTGTAAAAATATATAATGAAACTATCAAGAAGTCACAAAAAGGTCAAAAAATGAAAAAGAAGAAGCACTTGTCAAAGTTTGCGATAGGAATTGAAGTTATACAAATTAGGAGGTTATTTACATAAAAGCAATAGGTAATAATAATTATATCGATCGGTTCGTTATTATACCTGTGACACATTTCCAGATCCAGTGAAGACGAAAGTAAGAGGACCGAGTGATTTGGGCATCATACCAAGAGCCACTTCATAACCAGCGTCGCGAATGGCCTGCCGAGCCATACTCGAATTTCGATAGTTGTGAGCGGGTCCTATGTGCTGAAAAAAATTAAAATTGTATTTAATTTCCTACATTTCACACTCTGACCATTTATAACTGTTCTTAAGATTTATAAAGGTGGAGGTGAGGTGAAGAAGAAAAAACGACGGGTTGACTCCGGGAGTGCCGGCTGAAGTGAAAAGTGAAAACTTGAATATTAACATTGTGCATTTTTGATATTTTGGAATAGTTAGGGAATAATTTTGTACGAATTACTTAAATTATCAGTAACACTTTATATACACAAATTTTACGAATACACAGCAGTGTGGCCACTACACAGACGGTCGAGCCATCAGCTGTCACCATCCATGGATGCGCGTGGCACGCTGTAACAAACACACAGGAACATTCGCGCAAGCGCCCTGCGCTGCCTAAACGAAACAGCAGGCGCAGGCATATATTTTCGTCGCGCCTTAGAAAGAGAGGGTGATACTTCCTCTCCTACGCCGCGCCGCGCCGGCTGTATACTCTCCATCCGTCTTACGAATTTTCGATCATGTCAAGTGTCCTGACGAGAGTTTAACATTTTTTACCCATTACAAAAAATTGTACAACGCCGCTAAAGAAGTTTTCAATTAAACAGTGTACACAAGTTTGTGGTGCTGTGTCTGACTGGAAGTAAGTCAAAGTTGTAGATTTTAGACCATTTTTGTTACGGGGTCTATCCCAAAATAGTTGAACTAAAGTAGTTAAGAATGTGAAATTTTGGTGCATGATGTCCCATATGCTGTATTTAAACAAAAAATGTAATTTGTAGGTTGTGACGAAAACAAACAAATGGTTTTTCCTTTCTCAGTTTGTTGCGATCTCCTATTTAACAGACGTAATTTTTTGCCGTTTTTTGCTCGATATATTATAATATAGTGTCTAATGTTGTATATTAAGTATATTGTATATCACGTTGCGGAAAAAGTTTCTCCGCATTGTAAGTATATGAAAAATTCAAATCATGTTTTAATAAACTTTATTTACATTTAACTATGTAGGTGCCATTTTCTTTGATAACTTTTTGCTTGGCATTTCTCTCGTGATGTTAACCTGACACTGCCTAAAGAATTCTGAAGAGACCAAAACAGGTGGAAATCTGAAGGTGCAAGGTCAGGACTACACGGCGGATGCATTAACACCTCCCAGTCAAACAATTTTTGCTATAGTGGTTAAAGATGTGCTAGGTCTAGCGCATGATGGAAAACCACAAGCCCTGCTGTTGATTGATTCCGGCCACTTTCTCAAAACTTTTTGCTAAATCTCATCAGTTGTTCGTAGTAGATTTCATAATCGATGATCCTGCCCGGCGGTAACAGCTCATAATGAATAATGCTCTTCCAATCACACCATACACACAGCATCACCTTGTTGCGAGTTTAGTTAACACAGGTTTCGGTAAAGTCTGTGCAGCCTGACCGGTCTTTGACCCTGACTTTTTTCGCACGTTCTTGTCATACGTGATCCAGGTTTTATCACCAGTTATCAGCTTCTTCAAAAATGTTTCGGTTTCATTACGTCGCAACAAAGAATCAGAAATGAGTACACGGTTTATTAGGTTTCTTTTAGTGAGCTCGTGAGGCACCCAAATATCCAGCTTTTAAGTTTACCTAGCTTTTTTCAAATGCTTTAAAACTGTTTTGTGGTCAATTCCCAGTTCTTCAACTACATCGTGACTACGTCGATATTATTCCACTTTTTCATAAATTGCATCCATTTTATCCAGAACAGGGCAATCAGAGCGACGTGCATCTTTGACATCAAAATTTCCGGGTTGAAAACGCTTAACCCAAATTTGTGCTAGGTACTCTCACAGACATTGCACTAAGTCCATAAACATCCCAAAGTTTTTTTCGAGGCTGGCGTTGCATTTTTACCTTTTTTGTAGTAAAATTTTAAAATCTATCGAATTTCTTCATTAGATTTACTCCGTGACAGTGAGAAAAACAATGAAAATCACACCTTTTTCTAATTTGAATTTAGAATTATCTTCTTTAAAATTTTAACTTTTTAATTATCAAAACCAACCACATATATATCCAAAGAGATTTTATCACAAGTTCATACATACTTTAATGAAAAAAGACTTTTTCCCCAACCTATTATGTATGTTATCTTCTGTACTCCGTGGTGTCTTGTGTCTATGTGCAAATGTAAGAACCGACTCTGTCACGTTAGTTTACCATTTCATTTCTCATTTTCCTCTATAATATAATAATTATAATATTTATTTGTTCTCTTCTCACACACTGAAATTTACAAAAAACTATAGGTAATTTATACAAATACAGTCGGTTAAGCATCAGACATCATTAAGTATTTCAAAAGCTGCATATTTGAAGTGTGAGAAGCTGGTGCCTGAAGTAGGCATTAAAGGCCTGTAGTACAGGTCGCCAGGCTCCCACCCCACAGAAATTATCCTACATTGACATATATTATAACATAACTTATAGCTTATAAATATTACCCATATTATTCTATATTCTACTTTTTCCTCAATAATTTAGCGATCACTTAGTTTAGTGCTATTGGTCCATTAAACCTAAGTTATCTATACATTACTGTTGAGTTACAAAGAGGGACTCCGTGCTGTCATAATTCATGGCACTCAACCATTCGTGCACCTTTACTTTGCATTCGTAAGTATTACATGTGTATATTTGTAGTCTTCTATCTATGCTGTTATACAAAAAGCCACCCAAAAAACAAGAATACCTTTTTGTAAAAGCTTTTCTAACTGCATAAGTCGGAAAAACACTCCTGCTCCTTCGTCTATCAACAACGATACTACTACCTGCCTCATATGCAATTGCAGAGTGTTGTTTTAGCACAGTCTCCAAATAAAAAGTTGACGAACTGTTAAGACTTGCCAGTGGCGATAAAGAACCTCGGTGGAGTATCTAAAGGGGAAGAATCCACATACTTTTAAAATAGCCCTTTGCGCAACCTCTATTTGCTTTAGGGTACCCTTTGCAACCCCTCCCCAAGAAGTGATGCAATATGTGAGTAGGCTTCTTGCAAGTGCAAAATAAATACGTTTTAATGCTTCCTTATCCAACACATATCGCAAATTTTTAAAAAGGTAAATAAGTTTACGCAACCTGGCGGACATCATTTGCAGATGATTTTTGAATGACAAATTACTGTCAATCGTTACACCAAAATATTTTATGTTTGAGACAAGTTCTATTGATTTATTACATGAGCATTTAATTTCTTCAAAATTGTTGCATTCATGTGAAATTATAGCTCTAGCGGGTCTCTCTTCTAATGGCAATTTACGCATGGAAAACTTGACATATTTCGTTTTATCGGTGTTAAGAGTTAACAAGTTAGTTTTTAACCAGCTATTAATTAAGTTGAATCCCTGTTGGGCAGCATCCTGTGTCAATTCCCAGGTGGAAGCAGAAAAGAGAAGACATGTGTCATCTGCGTAAGATATAATACGGGCAAATGGAATCTGCAAGGAAGACAGGTCATTAATATATACCAAAAAAAGTGTAGGACCCAGAATACTGCCCTGAGGAACTCCGTAGTTGATCTGAGCTCTGTCACTCACATAATCCCCTATGTATAAGGCTAGACGATTTCACGTAGCGTGGTCAAGATGAATGGTGCTTTTAACTTCTTTTTATTATTTACATACTTTGTACTTACCATAAAGGGTGTATGATGCCCTAGTGCCAGCAATCGCAAACCTAGTCCATGCAGAATGTTGATCATGCCCGCAACACCCGCATATTTGCCGAAAGCTACCACTCTGTTGCCATCCGCATCCATCAGTTTCTCATAGTCTAACAAACGAATGTTCTGAAAGTTAGATAATAGAAAGAAAGCTAAAGTGTTATTATCAAAACTTTACTTATTTAAATATTGGTATTTTAACGTGGAAGTTATACACCCCATTTTAAGACTTGTAGTTGCAAAGTTATAGTTGCCTGTAAGAAATAATTCTAAACTCTACCTAACACATTAGGTATGTAACTTGCATTATATATTCACATCAAGTTGTTGTGTGGTATTTTATTAGAGTAATTTCAATATATATTTTTTTTAATTGGACATGAATCTTTATTTATTTAATTCAATACACTTTAACAATTAAAGTAGTTAAAGCCATTGCAATGCAAACTAGTTTTCATGAGCCAATAGAGGAGAACTCTATAGGTAGATTCAATCTACTTACAGAGTTCAGTACTTTGGTGTATCTTTCTTTATTATCTTTTTTTACATTTTAATTTTGCAATTTTCTGCAAATTCCGATCCGATCAAATTACTTACAGCTTACAGATCTATCTAGAAACCTACTATAGGGTATTTGACAAGTTTTAGGCAACGATTAATTATGTTAATGGACAATATGGCGTCTTACTAGCGTGTGACGCCACACGACTTTTATTAAAACGCCAAACGATACAATGTAATGCCACTTTAACCGGAAGTTTACTTGCGTATGACGTCATTTTAGGCTCCAACAATCCCTAGCGTTTTGGGTCACGTGACAATATATAAGAAAACTATTATCTTTTTCGAGGGTTTTTAGTAAAATTATGTATTTTTTTTTCTAAAAGTAGTAAAAACCCCTGCCAATATTCAATCTAAAACATTAACAATTGGCACTTTATTTTTAATACTGTCAAATACCCTATTACAAAAAGACTATTTACCTTTGCTAGAATAGCATCTAACATTGGCATGTTGGCCTCCTGGGCCTTAATGGTGTGTGAAAAGAAGCAGTAAGTCTTGTTTGGTATAAGAAGGTCGATGGGCGTTTGCTTCACACCGAAGATTACGCTCGCTTCGCTTATGTCCTCTTGAACGATCGCTCCAGAATTTATGTATGACTGAAACCAGAAACAAAATATGAACATTTATATTTTTTTAAGGTTTCGCTTACACAAAATGTTCCTTCAAACTATATAGGAGTAAAAGGGAAACTATATTATATAGTAGGTAGTTCTTCATCTATTTGTTCTTCAGTTATTCTCATTCAATGGTCGTCTAGATTTAGAAGTTGGTTCTACTTTAGCATAATATGTTCTTTTAACAAAATAAAACCTAGATAAAGTATGGGAAATAATAGTTATATTAAAATATATATTTAAATCATTCAGGTACCTATAATGTTAGTGCAAAAAAATGTGTTTGACTGTGCGTAAGTATATGTATTTTATTTAGGGAAACTTACAACAAATTCATTTTTAAAATATTCATATCTTTAGTATAAAAAGCACTTATAATGACACATTATAAGTATATTAGTTACTGTTGTTTTTACCTGCATTGGATAGGCACGGCGGTTGGATGGCTGCACTATAACCTTCACGCCCTGTCTCACCAACTTGTTCACATTCGAAGGGGAAAAGGGTGCTCTTCTTTCCCATACTGATTGATCTTCTCTCCTTATAGCTATAATTTTTTGAGGCTAAAACATAACGATGCCGATGGACGGAGTGTTAATATAAGAGCAAATTTTTTTTTTCGTAATTACTATTATTATAGAAATATCTTAATAAATCCGTAATTTTATGCAAACACTGTACAGAATACAATTTAGATCCCCCTAATATAATGAATGTGAAAGTTTGTATATGTTTGTGTGTTTGTTATTCAATCACGTAAAAACGGCTAAACGGATTTGGATGAAATTTGGCACACATAGTTTATTACCTAGATTGAGACACAGGATAGACTATTACCCGTGATGCCATACCACCTGCATGTTCCCCTGGTGGGTCCACGGGTATTTTTTTTTACCCGTTGTCCTACTATTCCGAACAATATTCGCCAGTGCGTCTACGGCAAATTTATTTTTACCATGGTCCGACCGCACGAAATGGTAAAAGTTAATTAAATCTATAGATATTTTGTGGTGCCGGTTGAAAAATCAAATGATAATTACATAAGAGACTAGCAAACCCAGCGAACTCCGTTTCGCCACCAGATAGCTTCGTTTTATGTAACATTTCGTTTTGTTATTAAAAGAAAACCATTTTTTTTTAAATTTTTCCTGAATTTTCTTTGCTATAAACCTCACGGAGCCCGAGAACTTTCCAACGAATGCAAAACCGTGGAAATCGATTCGTGCGTTCTGGAGTTATAGCGTCAGGAAGGAAAACCCGACTTATTTTTATATAGTAGATTTTCAAATGGAGCTAGTTACTGATGCGATTTCAGTTGGTGTGGCAATGTAAAAATATATTAATACTTTTTCAAATTTATATGAAGAAGGAAATTGTTATACACCGCAAAATAACTAAGGATCATATCAGCTCATTTCCTATTTGGGAAAACAGTTTACCAACTTTCACAGTTAGGGATTATTGATTTGAAATTTAATCTTTAGGTATTGGTACAACAGCAAGTACCTAGTGAGCGGGATAATTATTCAATTCCTCAGTAATTTCGTCCAATTAAATAACAAAACCTTGGCTAAAGTTTAACCTAGTTTAAAACTGATGCAGTCACTTTTGCTTGCTAAAAAGAGAAAAGACAGAGACAACATTAGGTCTAAACCATGACTAACTTTAGTCCGTGTTTTGGATAAGGCAGATTGTGTTTAGGCTCATAAGAATGGTCTCGATGAATAAGGGGTCATTGAAGCTCAAAAACTCCAACAGGTTAAATTTAATTAAAAAGATACAGCTACTTTGATAAAAATATTACTATGAAATATAACATTGAAAGAAACGATCAATATAGTAGACTGTGGGGTGGTACCTGATGTAAGTATTAGCGTTCCTAAAAAACCGATAGATTTGAGGTAATATCGTTCATCAATAAAACAATTGACTCCATGACATAAATAACGACGACTTCCTGGATTAATCACATATACTCACTATTCCTTTCAGTAGTCTCAGTAATTTTATCAGTGTTCAGACTTGTTATAATAACGAGACTATGATCCACGTAAAGGCAACCTTAGGCTGAAATTTATAGCAGATACTTATAGTTAAACCAATTTTAATAAATTCATAGCTTACAAACAATCTAAAATGTTAAAAGGTTATCAAAGTATGATGAAAAACTTAACTCTTGACGTTTAAAATAAGTGGATCCTATTTATAATTCACTATCACTTAATGTTAGTTGTTAATGAATGATTGAAGAACCTATTTTTGAATATTGTTCGGTGCCACACACAAGGTTTATTAATATCGTAAGCCTAAAAGGGCCTTATAAAGGGCTTGCTGTCTTATATTAACCGTATTATACTTAATAGGCAGATGGCCCCCACCTTACAAAATTCCACAGTAGAATAACGCTACCTTTTGGTGGTGTTCTGTTTCTGTCGGTGAGAAAGGTTCCAGGGTTCCACGGGATAGCGGATTGGGTCAGGGTATGAAACAGCGCGGCGAGTGTTTTTTTTTATCGCAAGTGTCTATGTCTATGAGCTATGGTGACCGCTTACCATCAGGCGGGTCATATGTATGCTTGTTTATTACCCTTTGAACATTATTATTATAGCTTTTTAATTCCTTAATAAATATACATGTCATTCATTCAATACAATTCAAATATCAGGTCAATTAATTAATTTTAATACAAACATGTCAATTATGATTTAAAAAAAATGTCAATATATTTTTTTCTATTAATTAAGGACCACTCTTGGGACTTTTTGGCACTTGGGAGCGTCACTTTAGTAATTATTTTATAATTAAATTTGTTTTTCTTGTTATAAATTGTGTTGTGGCGGATGTTAGTGTCTAATAATGGTGGATTATTAACAACTAAGTGTTCGGGAACATGCACAAGTGTTGGCAAGTGAAACAAAATAGCGGAAAGTGTCTTTTGACGTTCCCTCAAAAAGTCCACGTAGAGGTTCCAGTAAATCCCCACACTTTTACTGGAACATAGGGAAAGGGGGATTGACTTGACTGCCACTTACTTTGACTTGTTTTATTACTTTGACCACGAATGCAATATTTTAACACTAGCGAAGCCATTTACAAAAGGAAGGACCCCTCAGCGAGTAAAGGCCTTCTCCATTTTACTCGTACTTTTTCTATCTTTGGCCTTGGTGATCCAGTCATTACTAACAACACCTTTTAACATAAAAAGCTATTTTTTTACAGAATTTGTAGGTTTATCTATGGCTGATTTTAAGAAAAAGAAAATCTACTTAAACAAGAAAAGTTTTCTAAAAAGCTTTTGTTTAACTTGCAATGCAATGTATGCATGTAGGTATGAAAGGCCGGGTCAAATTATGTCCCTGAATTTTTTCCCATTTTTTTGCTAACTTTTTCGCTTTCCCCTCAAAGGGATTGCCCCTTTCATTTCCAAGTTGAAAAGGGATATACTATTATGTGATTCTAACACTTTTTTTTAGCTTTGGATGAGAAAGTGCCACGAAACTCAAAGATATACAATTTACTCCCTTGCAGTAAAAGCTTGACTATTCCATTTTTTTAATAGTGACCCGCTCCTTCCTTTGCACAGCAAAAAATTATTTCTACGCAATAAAGTATAGAATAAGTCACTCAGAAAAAAAGTTAGCTTTCAAGTAGTGAAAATCTGTGTATTAGCTTAGACTAAAACAAAAAGGGTAGATACGGCACTAGCCTCACAAAAGTGATCCGCACCATTTGTGGTCCACGACCCTAATTGCTTTAGTCACAACTTGACATGCAAACGACGTACATGTGAACGCCAAAAAGAAATATTGCTAATATTTTGTGTTTATATGATAAAACAATCCCTAAGAGTGTTTTTAAAAAGTGCTCAAATTGCTCAAGAACTAAAAATAAACCCACGGCATCACTTTTCATTCGTAAGTACTATAAAATATATTTTTTCATAAAAATTGTTGTTTGTTTTGAATCTTATTCGGTAGTGACGTCGAGTACTGGTCGCCTGATTGGTCGGTAATGCAGTCACGCGGATCTCGCCGTCTCGTTCGCGCTGCCGTTGAAACTTAACGTGCTGTTTCGTTCGGGTCGGTAATGCAGTGACCCGGATCTCGCCGTCCCGTTCGCGCTGCCGTGGGATCAGTTTTTGTTTGATGCAAGTATGAGCGTACCGTATCTATCCTTTTTGTTTTAATCTAAGTGTATTAGCTGCCCCACAGATTATTTTATTTTCTTACTACAAACAAACACAATCTATATCTTTATGATTAGTATCATTAGTATATATTATATTATGTAATAGATATTATGAATTTCATTGACCATAGGCAAAATAGGTAAAAACTATAATTTCATCTTTATTAAAAAAAAAAGTTTTTATAAAAAATATTACTAAATTGCCATATTCGGTCTAATTCTAATATGAATTTTAATACTATATTTAATTTTGTCAAGTACCTATCTCCTTTTCAATCTCTATAGACCATAAATAAGGACACTGAACCCGATTCTGACATGTTTTTATTTTAACAAAGAATTAAAATTTCGCAATAGTCATACATTATAGCGAATGAAAAGGATACTGTTATCAAAAATTTTAGGTTTAGAGAATCATGCCATAATCAGAGTCTGTGAGGGAACGCAATGTGGAACCCCGGCTTTATTATGAAATGAAAATGAACTTTATGCAATTTGACTTATTAAAATCTGTTTGAATCGTCCCTATATAAGGATAAAAAATCCTACCGCCTGGTCATGACATCTTTTAGCTGACAAGAAGAACAGGCAAAAGAAACTTCACAGCTTTTTATGAAGTAGCGACATTTAAATAAAATTATGACGTTACCAATACAATTATTATAATTACAATCTTTATGTGTTACACAGATCAAGAATATTCAAAATTGCATTGTGATAGATAACTTTAATGAGCAAAGGAAGGGATTATATGGGTTATAACAAAGTTATTCCCAGACACTTCGATCGTTCAAATAATCTTGGACTTGTTAGTATTCTTTGTATTATTTCTCATTAGTGTATTTTTACGCGAGTTTTAAAATGAATAGAGAGATCGGGAAACTAGGAGGTTATATATTATAAAAAGTTTTGCATTTCCCCAAGAATTAACTTTGTGTTTTTCCTAATCTAAACATTGAAACAGCAGTTTAATGTTTGTTTCTGATATAATTATGATCACAAGCCTGCAGGCTAGATGTTATTTTTCTCTCCATTTTATTTCAACTTAAATTATTAGATTTTCTGACAATTGTTGAGGTACTATAAGGATCGTTTACTTGGACAAACCCCACCATTTTGAAAGTTCAGCAACTATTAGTAGATAAACATTTTTATCAATAAGTATTATCAATGCTTGTTATTACCTATTTAGGTAATAATGAGCATACTGAGATAGATAAATTACAGTTACACTTAAAACTATATCACAGTGTTTCTACGCAGGTTTTTTTACGAAAATACCTTAATTGTTTTTATGCTCGTAGATTATTATTATTATTGTAAAGGTAGATAAATGTTCCATAACATATCTAGCTATCTATAGTATCTAGGTATA